AAGTGAAATAAACTTCAACGGAATAAAGTTGAATGGAATTGAATTGAATTAAAGTTGAATAAACTTCAACTTTACTGTTCAGTGCACTGATGTCAGACTCATTTTGGATAATAAAGTTTATTGTTAAATTGTTAAATGCCCTGCCTCCACTACATATCTTTGTCACGTCATTATAAGTGTTTGATCACATATATTCTGTTTATGTATATACTGTATTCTATATATAGTACCAGTCAAATGTTTGGACACACGAATGGGAAAGTGTCCAAACTTTTGACTGGTACTGTACTATAATATATCGGCTGATATTCTTTGTGTATATCGATATCGGCCTTTTTTACTCCCTAATATCGGTATCGGCCCTAAAAAACCCATATCGGTCGGGCTCTACTCTGAAAGCGCTCCTCAAGACGTGTGATTATATTACTGGATGCTCGAAATTGAATGGGAGAATGCACGTTTTAAACAGCTTATTGTACAGGTAATTTAATCGGCTTTCTAATCTAATGGGCTGCTGCACTGTAAAGCCCCGTTCACACCAAGAACGATAACTATAAAGATAACGATATTTGCGTCCACACCAGTGAATGATATCGTCTGTTTATTCTAAGCGCACGCTCGTCTGCCGGTTTTAAATTCTTGAGCTCGTTACAGCAGGATGGATTCTGATTGGCTGTCAAATTTTTATCGATCATCAGCTGGAGAAAAATAGTTTTGAAAGTGATTCCAACGATATCGTTTCTCTTTGTCTTTATCGTTATAGTTGTGGTGTGGACTCTGCTATTCTTTAATATTGAGAACGATTTTTAGAACTATATCTTTATCGTTATAGTAATCATCCTTGGTGTGAACGGGCCTTAACGCACACACATAGGCTACAGACAGTAGCTCGTACATCACGCGCAGATCGCGAGCACATAGAATCATGTGTGGAGTTCGACTTGAAATTCATCACATAAAAGTCGACTTTAAAAAATCAGAAATCGTTCAACCCCTAATAGATAGTGACAGCACAGATGGAGAGAGCAACAGAGAGGGAAAAAAGAAAGCGAATGAGGAAATGACACTGGAGAGTGTAGTGAGAGAAATCTGAAATGGAAGCAGGTACAGTGAACAATGTGTTAATGACTCAAAAGATGTACAGGAATTTTTATGTATAATGAGTGGTAATTAGTGATGAATGGATAAATGGGCACATTTCACAGCAGTAGTACACATGTTTACATGCACTGTTTTTTTTGTTGTATTTTTAAGATTCCGGTGATGACACTGAGGATGATACAGTTGGAGGAAGAAAGAGAAAGAATGACCGCAGTTGGAAGAAGCGTGTTAATAAAAGGCGAAGAATGATGGGACAACCGTATGTTGGGATTAGAGGGAACGAAGAAGTTGACATGGAGCCCCGGGCGATGGGACCAAGCTGTCAGTCTGCTGGATGCGTAAAGTCCTCCAAGCATCACTGCAGTACAATTGGAGAAGCAGACAGAGAGAACATTTTTAAATGTTTTTGGGAGAACATGAACTGGGAGGAGAAAAAAATGTATGTGCGTGGTTTGGTGGATGTCATCCCTGTAAAGAGAAGAAGGGGGTGTAACAATTCAAGAAGGCACAAGAACTAGCTTTTCTGCTTCAAAAAACAGAAACATTTCCAAGATGCAGAACGTTATCTTAAAGGGATAGTTCACCCAAAAATGAAAATTTGATGTTTATCTGCTTACTTTCATTTTTGGGTGAACTATCCCTTTAAGGTGGAAGAAGGCTGTTTTTATAATATGTGAAAAAGACATTACAGTACATCCTTCTAGATGCAAATTGTTTTCTAAAAGCTTCTATGTATAGGGTTTTGGCCCAATAAGTAATGTTTTTTTTTTTTTCTTATCTCAATTTAATGTAAGATTTTTGATTTGATTTTTTATATCTGTAACACATTCTGTTAATTTACATCATTTAGAAATTAATCTGGTCTCGATGGAAATATATAACATTATCAGCATTAAAATGGGAACCTTAAAACTAGCAATATAAGAAGCATTCCAATTGTATTTGTTATAGAATACTATCTGTAGTTTTTCTGTTTTTTTTGGGGGTTTTTTAACGTTTTATTAGTTTTTCTGTTGTAAAAACGGGGCGGGGTGAATAATAGTTTGGGAAAATTAATGATTAATAAACGGACTGCAAAATGTGGCTAGTTTATTTATTTATTTTTTCTTTAACCATTCCAACCCAAGTCTACCCATTACACTAAGTGAGGTATGGTGGAGTGCAATCAAGTCACAAAGGCTGTAATTATATAAATAAAAAGTATGATGCACTGCATGATTCAGAGTGGTGTGTTACTGTGTTCATTTACACACAAGTTGTTCCACATGTAAATGATCCAGTGTTTTCAGTGTCTCAGAGTGCCTTGTTGGCAGTAAATACTGCAGCACACAAGCTCCAACTCTGAATGTGCTGTGAGTTTGAGATGTTTATAACATGCATTTGAAAACAAAACATTTCTACCCCGCGGCTGCAAAACTCAGGGTACGTTTACACAATAACGATATGCTAAAAATGGAAAAGTTTTTCCATTGCATTTTTGAAAAGTTTCACATGCAGTCAAAAACGCTGTCAAAATGATCCCCATTCACATGGATCCAGGAAAATGCTGTATTACTTTGCCAACTACTGGCCCTGGCATATGTCATTTTGTAAAGAAATACTACAAACGTGACATCAGCATTTTCACAAATTCACATTTTTATAGTTTACACAGAGACGCATTTTCAAAGACCCAAAACCCATTTTCAAAGGTTTGCTTTTTCAGGCCCCGGTAACACTTTAGAATAGGGAACACTTATTCACTTAACTACAACTTTTCACTCAATAAATTCCTAATTTGCTGCTTATTAATAGTTAGTAAGGTAGTTGTTAAGTTTAGGTACTGAGTAGGATTAAGGATGTAGAATAAGGCAATAATACGTGCTTAATTAGTACTAATAAATGGCTAATATTCTAGTAATATGCATGCTAATAAGCAACTAGTTGAGAGACCCTAAAACAAAGTGTTACCCAGGCCCCCAAAATGCAGTTGGTATGTAAAGGAACTGCCAAAATGCATAAAAAGCTTTTCGTTTTTACATTGTTTTGTAATTGCACCTTCAGTTAGGGCCACAGCCCTGCAGAGTTTAGCTTCAACCCTAACAAATCAAGTCCTTCAGGCTTATTTGAAAACATGGTATGTGTGTTGGAGTAGGGTTGGGACTAAACTTTGCAGGGCAGAGGCCCTGAGTTTTGCATCCCTGATCTACCCAAATTTATAATGAGCGTTATGTATATGTTGTCAATAAAAGAAAAGCTTTAAGGTGTCCCTGTGGTTTTTCCACTAGAAATTATTTTTGTGTGGTTTAATGTTTGGAAGCAAAGAAATAAGGCAGCCACATATTAGAATTGTAATCCTACATTTAGATATAATCATATTTCTTCTTGTACATAGTATATATTTTAAAAATAGATACTATTTAGTAAGCACGTAAGCCACTAGATTTTGAACCAACTACAGCTTATTTATTGACTCTGCAGCATTTTAAAGGTGGGATAAGGCTTTTGTACCAAGGTTGGAATTGTGATTATCAAAGGACGAACAAAACACAACACCCAATTTCTTCACTGTAAAAGATCTGCATAATTAGCATGTTAAGTTAAGATATTTTTGGTTCAATTAATGCTTCTGTTTTAGCAGAGTTTAACAAGAAAATTACTAGCTACCCCATTTATATCATTAATACACACTGCGAATGTATATTTGTGAAGTTTTGTCAGGTTGTGAGGAACTATAGAACCCGAGTATCATTGGCATAAAATCTAATGTTTCTCTGGGAATCTCAGAATCAGATAGAAGGAGACAAGTAAAGGACCTAATATTGAGCCCTGTGGTACTCCATACTTTAAGAGAATATTGTGGTCTGTGTTGTTTAAGATCTGATAGCTCTAAAATAGAGAGATAACTTTAAGTTATCCATGTCACAGTGGAGTTTAAATCCTGACTGATATTGTTCACAAATACAACAAAATTTAACATTATTTAAAAGGATAATTTTTTTTCTAATGTTTTAGACCAGGGATGTCAAACTCAGTTTCTGGAGGGCCACAGCCCTGCAGCATTGAGCTCTAAACGGCTCCATCAAACCTACCTTTAGTTTTGAAGTAATCTTTAATACCTTGATTCAGGTGTGTTGGAGCTAAACTCTGAAGGACTGTGACTATCCAGGATGAATATTAGATTTGGGCCATTGTTGCTTTCTGTGCCACTGTTGCTTTTAAATGGGGAACTTTCAACTTGTGTTTTGTCTCTTTTCGCCCTAGACCTGATGGTGATGAAAGAGGAGAGTGAAGTACTAGACGAAATGCAAGATAAAGATCAGTATAAGAAACATCATGATTTCATAACTGGACAACAATCATTTAGTTGCTCACAGATTGAAAAGACTTCAAGAAAAAGAGCTCAAAAGATAGGGACTAGAAGTCATTTCACCTGCCAACAGTGTGGTAAGAATTTCAATCAACATGGAAACTTTAAAGTCCACATGAGAGTTCACACTGGAGAGAAACCTTATACATGTCAACAGTGTGGAAAGAGTTTCACTCAAAAAGCAACCCTTAAAAGCCACACGAGTGTTCACACCAGAGAGAAGCCATACACATGCGAACAGTGTGGAAGCAGTTTCACTCAGCAAGGAAGCTTTAATAGGCACATGATACTTCATACCGGAGAGAAGCCTTACACCTGCAAACTGTGTGGAAAGAGCTTCACTCAAAAAGTACACCTTAAAGTCCACATGACAAATCACACTGAAGGAAACTCTTTCACCTGCCAACCGTGTGGAAAAGGTTTTAACAGAAAAGAAGACCTTGAAGCCCACATGACAGTTCACACTGAAGGGAGCCCTTTTACCTGCCAACAGTGTGGAAAAAGTTTTAACAAAAAACATGAGAGTTCACACTGGAGAGAAACCTTATACATGTCAACAGTGTGGAAAGAGTTTCACTCAAAAAGCAACCCTTAAAAGCCACATGAGTGTTCACACCAGAGAGAAGCCATACACATGCGAACAGTGTGGAAGCAGTTTCACTCAGCAAGGAAGCTTTAACAGGCACATGATACTTCACACCGGAGAGAAGCCTTACACCTGCAAACTGTGTGGGAAAAAATTCACTCAAAAAGTACACCTTAAAGTCCACATGACAAATCACACTGAAGGAAACTCTTTCACCTGCCAACCGTGTGGAAAAGGTTTTAACAGAAAAGAAGACCTTGAAGCCCACATGACAGTTCACACTGAAGGGAGCCCTTTTACCTGCCAACAGTGTGGAAAAAGTTTTAACAAAAAAAGAAACCTTAATGCACACGTGAAAATTCACACTGGAGAAAAGCCTTACTTGTGTCCTGAATGTGGAATAAGCTTCAACCAAAGAGGAAACCTTAACAGGCATATGAAAACTCACACTGGAGAAAACCGTTTTACCTGCAAACAGTGTGGAAAACGTTTTATTCGAAAAGGAAACCTTAATTACCACATGAGAATTCATACCGGAGAGAAGCCTTACACATGCCCTCAATGTGGAAAGAGTTTTACACATAAACAGACTTTTAAAGTCCACATTAGAATTCACACCGGAGAGAAACCTTACGCCTGCGAACTGTGTGGAAAGAGCTTCACTCAAAAAGGACACCTTAAAATCCACATGACAAATCACACTGAAGGAAGCTCTTTCACCTGCCATCTGTGTGGAAAAAGTTTTAACAGAAAAACAAACCTTAATTCCCACATGAAAATTCACACTGGAGAAAAGTCTTACACGTGCCTTCAATGTGGAAGGAGTTTTATGCATAAACAAACTCTTAAAATCCACATGAGAATTCACACCGGAGAGAAGCCTTTCACACGCCTTCAGCTTGAGAAGAGTTTCACATATCGAGACCTGAAATGTAATTTGCAAGCTCATTCTGGAAAGAAACTGCAGAGTTCTGAATGTGCTAAGAGGTTTAGAAACAGTAGACGTTTTAAAAATCACCTGCACATTCACTCTGGAGAAAGGACATTTCACTGTGGTCAGTGCAATAAAACCTTTCTTTTGCCATCGCATTTACAGATACACCTGAAAAGTCATGCGGATGTGAGACCCTATTTTTGTTCTGTGTGTGGAAAGAGTTTCAAATGGCCCAGCAATTTAAAATGGCACCAGAAAATGCGTATCTGTAAAATTAATGCTGCATTCACACCGCAGCTGAATGCGGGCCGAATCTGAACATTCCTTACTGTGCGTTCACACCGCCGCCGTTGAGAGCGTCAAAAATCGCTCTGGCCGCCCTGCCAACAACGCTGTAGAAAGATTCGTGGACGCTCTGACGTAGATCAAATGCTTATCTTGTATTTAAAGGGGCCGCAAAGCAAACACGCTTGTTGATCTTGTGCAGACTGACCACAAGGAGGGTAACGTTAAGTTAACCTCATTAAATATTGTTGTGGACGAAGTATTAAGATCCTTTACCTCATAATGTTTAAAGCACTAATACCACACTGTAAAAATACTCCGATACAAGTAAAAGTCCTGCACTGAAAATGTTACTTAAGTATAATCAGGTATAAACATTACTTAATGTATATATAATCAGGAAAATTGTGGTCGGAACCAAAGTTTACAGGACTGCGTTCTCTGGAATCCTCTCAAGCGGTGGACTTCTACGTTCCGATTGGTTGCCGCCAGATGCCACCGAAGCATAGCTCATTACCATAAAGTTGACCTGATTTCAACTCTCCTCGACGCCCTCAACGTCCAAGTCGCGACGCTGCTCGACGCCGGCTCACATTGAAAATGAATGACTTCCGGCCACTTTGACGCTCTCGACGGCGGCGGCGGTGTGAACGCACGGTTAGTCAAAACATTTGATTCAGATTGGGGAACACAGTGTGTTCTCATTGTTAAATTTGTTTTTCAAAGAGTCTTGTGCGTCTTTGGTTAATCGCTGTATTGATTGTATACATTTAAAGACTTCGTAGTGGCAATGTTTTTAACTACTTGATGAAGACAGAATGGGTTGAAACGTTTTTTTTTCTACTATTAAAATAGAGTTTGAGAGTATTGTGACAATGTGCTTTCTTTTTGTTTTTTATTAAAGGGGTCATGACATGAGAAACCAAATTTCCTTTGATCTTTTGACTTAGAAGAGCTCTTTGTATGCTAAATACATTCTGCAAGTTTCATAACTTAAATGCTTTTCTACTGATAATGAGGACATTTTATGTAACAGCCTTCAGAAAACGTCTCGTTTTAGATCCAGGGTGCAAGGTGACGTCAGCTAGGCACAGTCGTTTGCATAAACACCGCCTCCAGAGCGAGGCGATAGGCTCATCTGGAGCCTCATAACTAGGGTTGGGTATCGTTTGAATTTTATCGATTTCGATTCTTATCGATTCCTAGTTTCGATTCCAATAAGATAAATATTAAAGTGTTAAAGACAAGTAAACAGTCAGTAATAAGATAGGAACAAACAAATCAATTAGCAATATCATAAATAAATACAACTGAACAAAATTTCAGGTACAGAAACTATAATTAAGAGTTTAAAAACAGTGCATAGATTTCTTTTCATAAATAAAATATAGATTAATCAATTGAAGTTATTAAATATATTCAGTCAAGATCAGTGAATGATTTTCTGTTGTTCTTTGATTAACGTTAATGACAGGCAGCGCGTTTATTAGACTGCTGTCTCTTTAACACCGAACGCACACAGATCTGAAAATACTGTACGTTTTCTTTCTCATCTGTTTACGTTCACGTAAGACAAAAACGGCTGTGTTTATGATGATATACTGACGTAGTTTTCTGCATATTGGTCGACAAATATGAAAGAAGTCAGTTTCGGCCCGGAACAACCTTTTCTACAGTGGAAATGCACGGAACGGTTCGAAAACGGACAAACCGGGAACCCGTACCGCTACCTCTGTTCTGCGCTGCACGCAAACAGGGCGCAAGTTCTTTCCGTTCCTGCACTTAAATCGTTTTTAATCCCATTAAAATGCGAACGCAGCAATCGTTAAGCAGAATCGAAATGCACGCGTCTTATCGAATACCCGGTTCTTGGAAATTTGGAACCGGTTTTCGATACCCAACCCTACTCATAACCAAACTGCCTTTTTGTGGTTCTCAAGCGCTTTTGTTTGAGTACAGCTTCCACGTTCATCTCATCACACATTTTCTTTGCAGTTGTATGTGTGCACTAGAAAACCCAGTACTTCTGTAGCTGTTAAGTGAATCTCTGGTTTTCTTCAGCAAGTCAACAGCCACATCTAGCTGCATGGAGGGTGATTGCATTAGTTTACTCACATGCTGGATCTGGCTGAGGATGTCATACCATAAGACTCTGCAAATAGAAAATCAGTAGGATCCAATCTCCTCAGCCAAAGACTGAGCTTCAACTTTCACTACAAGGTCTGCAGTAGTTTCCCTCACCTCAGCCTCTCTGAATTGCCCAGCCTAGTACCTTACTGCCTGGATGCTGTCTTTTCTGCTTTCCCACCTGGTTTCTGACCATGTTTTCAGGATGATTTTTGACATGTTTCAGGAGGATATCCCATCTATGGGTTGAGGCTGAGAAGAGTTTGAATAATTTAGCTAAATATCCAAAGTAGCCAATGGCATCTGGTGAGCTCTTAGCAGCATCAGCTACCACCAAATTTAAGGTGTGGGCACCACATGGGACAAAAAAGGCTCTTGAGTTCAGCTGAAGCAGCCTAGCCTGAACACCTTTATTCTTTCCCTTCATGTTGGCACCGTTATCATCGTCCTCTGCAGTCCTCAAAGGGGATGTTCAGCTCCTCCAATCTTTTTTTAGTTTAAAATGATTTTTTACACGGCACCCCTGCTCTCGACAGATGGCACCCCGGTTGGGAAACACTGCTCTATAGCATACAGTATAGTCTACTGTTTAATCTTCAAAATAAATTTGAAGTGTTCGATTTCCAGTAGATGGCAGCAATGTTCTACTAAACTATAGCCCTTTCTAACGTTATCACCACAAATTAAACTAAGAAACGTACATCTCTAAAGTGAATTTTACATAAAATGTTTATATTTTAATAAGCCCACAGTTATATACAAACATTACTAAATTAGTCAATTCAAATTAAAAATACCATGAATCCCAAATACTACACAACTATAGCATAAAAATAGTATTAAAACGTTATCATGTGACACGAAAAATGACAAAATTATGTTTCAAAATCTCAGATCTCTGGAACTCCAGACATTTTTATTACCCTATTTTTAACTTTTAGACTAGGCTTTCTAGGCCAACATAGTTTGTTCACAAACTTTTTATATCTAGTTTATTTATATGATCATCATCATCATTTATTACATCATAATACCTATGTCTTTGTCCCGTTTGTCGTCTTCTCTTCTTTTTTTTTTTGTCTTCCCTGGGCATCAGAGTGCTTCGGTCTTTTAGACATTGTGATAGATGTTCACTAATAAATGATCACAATCAGGTAACTGATGTAACGTTATGTGGAAGTGCGGCTGCGCGGGGGATGATTGATCATGCGTCGAACCAGGGTGAGTAGGGAGAGCAATAAAATAGTTATGTTTTTGTGGGACGATTGCTTTTTGTAATATTTTAAATTCATAGTATTTAAGTAGTATTTGTAAAAAAACAAATAGTTAAAGGGGTCATATGATGCGATTTCAGTTTTTCCTTTCTCTTTGGAGTGTTACAAGCTCTTGGTGCATAAAGAAGATCTGTAAAGTTGCAAACACTAAAGTCTCAAAACCAAAGAGATATTCTTTATAAAAGTTAAGAGTTAACCACACCTACCTAAAACGGCTCGTTCTAACACGCCCCCACATATCTACATCACTATGTGGGAAGATTTGCATAACGCCGCCCAAATGTTCACGCAAAGAAAGAAGGCGTAACTTTTATTCTCACTGTAGTATTGTTGACGCTGCAGCCATGTCCTGAAGACGCTGTGTGCTTCGTTGTGAAAGCGAATTGGGCTAACTGTATTGTTGCATTCCTACTGTTTACTGTAAAATACTGTATAACAGGAATACCACAAACTGAGTGCAGACTCTGAGTACTAACCTATGAAAAATATTTAACATGAAGTCTAGCATTTTGCACATAAATGCCTTCTGTGTGTGCATTAATAATTAATAAATGATTCGTGTGTCCACTTTACTTTAAAGTTCACTTTCACAGGTTAATGATGTGACAGGTTACTAACGTTTATAGATCATTAATAAATGGTTCACAGATGATCACTTTACATTAAGGTTCATTTTTAGACGTCATTAACAGGTTATTTCACAGGTTATTAATGTTTATAAATCATGAATAAATGGCTCATTACAATAAGGTTCACAGGTAATATTGGATTTAAAATTTTCAATATTAATATCTCATCAAGTCATGGGTGTGCTTTTATTATTTTTTCACCAATATATCAGTTTCTAATCATTGCTGTGGATAGGCATCATGAACTTTTGCGGAGAATCATGGGTAAGGTACAGAGTAGATTCTGGTAAGAAACATTGTAAGAAAAGTGACACGAGTCATGAGATATAAATGAGAGAAC